AAAAAAAAAAAAAAAAAAAAAAAAAAAAAAGAAACATAATAAATAAAGTCACAATGGCTTCTTCTTCTTCTTCGAAACTCTTCACTCCCCTCCAAGTCGGGCACATGCAGCTCGCCCACCGCATCACCATGGCCCCGTTAACCCGCTTCCGAAACGATGACGACCATGTGCCCCTTCCCATCGTGAAGGAGCACTACGAACAGCGCGGATCCGTCCCCGGAACCCTGCTCATCACCGAGGCCACCCTCATCTCCCCGCGCGCCGGCGGCTTCGCCAACGTCCCCGGCATCTGGAGCGAGGCGCAGATCGCCGCCTGGCGCACCGTCACTGACGCCGTGCACGCCAAGGGCTCCTACATCTTCATGCAGCTCTGGGCGCTGGGCCGGGTCGCCAACCCGACCAACCTGCAGAACGACGGCTACGACCTCGTCTCCAGCAGCGCCGTGCCCGCCACGCCGGAGGGCCCTGCGCCCCGGGCCTTGACCGAGGACGAGATCCACGACTACATCCGCGACTACGCGCAGGCGGCGCAGAACGCCATTGCGGCTGGGTTCGACGGGGTCGAGATCCACGGCGCGAACGGGTACCTGATTGACCAGTTTACGCAGGATACGGCCAACCAGCGCACGGATGGCTGGGGCGGCAGTGTCGAGAACCGCGCGCGGTTCGCGCTGGAGGTCACCCGGGCTGTGACGGAGGCCATTGGTGCCGAGAGGACGGGCATCCGCTTCAGTCCCTTCAGTACCTTCCAGGGGATGCGCATGGCGGACCCCGTCCCGCAGTTCGAGTATCTGGCGCGCAAGACGAAGGAGTTCAAGCTGGCGTATGTGCATCTGGTCGAGCCGCGCATTGCAGGTAACACGGAGGTCGAGGAGCCCACCGCTGACTCGTTGGATTTCTTCTTCCGTGCTTACGAGAACGCGGGCCCTATCATGGTGGCCGGCGGGTATAAGGCGGAGTCGGCCAAGGAGGCTGTTGACTCGCTCTACAAGGACTATGATACCCTTGTTGCTATGGGACGGCCCTTTACCTCGAACCCGGATTTGCCTTTCAAGGTCAAGGCGGGCATTCCTTTGAGGGATTATGAGAGGGAGAAGTTCTATCTGGTTAAGGATCCGAAGGGATACACTGATTATGAGTTTAGCGAGGAGTTCAAGTCTGTGCAGGTTGCTGCTTGATCTCGTTTTCTTTGCTTTTCTTTTCTTTTTTTTATCTAACTTTTTTTTTGATGTTTACTTGCATTCCATTGCTGTGCATTATCAGGCGTTTGACTAGGTTAGAAGGCATGGACTATAGATGGGATTGTACATACATAATCTATCATTGCATATAACCCATTTTGTTCATCTTGAATCCGGATTGGCTTTTGCTCTCAGCAGGAACTGCAGTAGATGTCGTCATTATATATGGTCAGAGGCCAGTGACCCAGTTTGCATCACACTGTAAACAAGCAACACAGAAGATGAGGTACTTACACAGTGCTCTACTAGAGAACCGTACAAGGTTATAAAGAGGCCCGTCTTCTGATCTTACCTTCCATATACCAAAATAAGGGTCTACAATGCAATTGAATCATCGATATATGTGTTCTGCTATGCTCTGGGCACTGTAGCAGACATTACAGAGCTGCCGAGAAGAACCCGAGTAGAAGGTTCTGCTCCAGATTTTTCGAAGGCTCTTATAGCTCAGCGAGGAGTAACTAACCTATGAGTGTGATCTGGAATGATAATCACTCCATGGTTATAGATACTCAAAAGCTTGGTGTTTTAGTCAGATGATACCTGCCACTGATTGCAGAATGCGGTATCAAGGGTCAAGAAAGTACCCACTGCTGTACGGCGTACTCCATAGTCCGAGCTCTATTGTAAACCGGAGATCTCACCGACTTGAATTACTTGTACTCGCTAGTTCCCGAAGGAAGTAGGCTAGCACTGAGAGGATGTGCTTGATAATCGAATCGTCGAACTCAAACATAGCATTATCGAAGCTACGATGGTGTGAGAACGGGGTCGGTGAGCAAACAGTATTGGGCTAAGCTTCTGCAAGTCCAGAACTTGGAAGTATGGTTCAAATCACCCATTCGTAGTTATGGGTATGTCCCCTCTGGTTCAACTGGTTCCTTCTGGTCACCGGACAGACGATAGAGTGGGAAAGCGGAACCCGGCGGATGGCGACAAGAGCCAGTGATGGCGAAAGCCGCTCCACGGTCCACCCGGGAAAGGTTTGCATCCCCCGAGGAATCAGCAGAGTGGGCTGAAGGCGACATTGTGCAGTAGATAGTTGCATATCGACTAAAGACGAGTTGATATGGGGTCCTGCATCTATCCTGTAGTCCTGGGGACTAAGTATGCATGCAGATCGGGAAACACCTCGCCTTTGTCCTGCGTATCCATGGCGATGCATCATGCTGGTCTGTCCACCAGAAACATTGCGTAACCCCCACCTGATCGTCTATCTCAGGAAGATTTCTTCCGTTGAGATTCAAGGTTTGTGACTATTCCGGTTGTTCATTGTGTTTCTTATCGCGCTTGGTGGCGGGAGTCTAGTTGATTCTAGCGTGGTGGGGAAAAAGCAGATCTCTGGCGAAAAGAGCGGTCAGGCATCAATTGTTGGTTGACTCGAGAAAGAGAATTGACATGACTCCAACCCCGATGGCATACCGCATCCATGTGATCCCACTAGGGAGATATTCAGGACGGAATAGTGTAGTCGAAATATTGAAGTTATATCGGCGTGATACCAAGTTGAACCCCATCAAAGTTTCCTATGGATGATCATGACACCATTCCCCGGCCTTTAAGGTTGAATTACCTTAATTCCTATGGGTTAAGTCAGTCGTTAGTCTCGTCTATCAACAAATCCCACATCGCCACCAAGAACAATGATCTCACGCAACTTGGCAATCCCCCAACCATCACCCACGCGGGGTGTCCATTCAAAGAACAGACAGAAGAAGCCTGACTTACGGGAGTGGGGGTCTTGAATTTCTTGGAATTCTTGGCTGGACTCTTCGCCCCCGGTAGTATTTCCTTTCCTACTCAATTTTTCGGCTCCTGAGGATGGTTCTTTCCGCTCCGCCGAACCGAAAGGATTCCTTTGGTGTTTCGTGGGACGGGGGCGGTTCTGGGATATGAATGGATGGTATTGGATACCTTGGGAGGGCCCAGAGTCCGAACATCATGATGATGGCCCCAGACCGGCATCCCCAAGTGTTTCTCGTCGAATCATAGAGAGACCCATTGTGGCCTGATGACCTTGCCCCGGACTCGGCTGCAGAGAGAACTCGGTACCGGGTGCCTGGCCGCCACCACGTGGTGAATCCAAGGATTACGATTCTGATAATACTCTTTCTTATTTTGGTAGTTTGTAACTCTGTATTCTACTTCGGTCTTTGTCTTGGTTGTAAGTAAGTACCTTGGGAAGTATACCGTTGGTATACGGCCGGCTGTCGATCGCGCCCATCCCGTGACCATTGGTCAAGACCAAAAGAAATGTATGACGACGTTGTCGTCAAAAGCTCTCGGGCTATTGAGCGCTTGGGCACCCATGACCCAAACATTGTCTATTGGGTTGGACGACGACCTTTCCGCTTGATGTTTCAGCCATGTAGCACAAGTTACACGTCTAGAGCTTCCTTAGTTCCTCCAAATGCATAATATAATGGACAGGAGTATACAGTATGCCCTCTATTTACCTGGCACGGCATCGAATTCGGAATAGAGCAGACCAAAGTACGGACACTGAGTATATGCCGATGCCTTCAAGGATTCGACGCTCTCCACGTGGAGTACACATTTCTTGTGGGGTTCGATCGTGCACTCAACCATGGATCAAAGGCTCCCGGAGCAATGGAGGACTGCAGGGATAACCTAGGTTACGGTCTTGATGTGCCTAATTCGGCGAGGAACAATAACATCATGTTTAGGGACTAGTCTAGGGCAATCTCGTATGCAGGGTCGCTTTGGGAACAGGTCTGGATGGACCACCTCCACAATCTCTCCAGACTCTCCTCCAGACCCGTAGGATATTGGATTAGGGCCATGGGCAGGTATTCTTTGTAACGGATTTGCGCCAAGGGCGGTACATCCATAGACTTTGCGGGGAAGAACCTTGTACACCTGCCTTGATAATTGACGGCTTTATAGGCTGATGTACTATGTTTAGGTATCATATGCACCATTCACGGGCTGTCGGTAAATTGCCATGCATTCATCCTGACAGACACGGGAAACGAAGAGCCTGGATCATGGAGGGGTAATGGATTTCAGTCCGTTAATGCATGGACATACGCTGTAAGATAATTGCTAATATAGATTGCATAACATTAATTAATATAACCATAATATTAGGGCAGAGGGCCTCACCTATTGGTACCCATGTGAGTACACAGTATTAATTAGTTTACTCATCAAAACCACGCATACTCCGGATGTTGGACCCCCCTCGGCCAATGGGATTCGCCTGGGAACAACTATGGATGCAGCTTAATTAGTACGTCGCCCCCAATAATTTAGTATGGCTTGCAGCAGGGGCTCAGCCGAAATTCACCACAATTTACGGCTGCCAAGGAAAGACCCGGCCTGGCCATGGCCACTTGTATGTATCTGGCCTGGTACGACGAGAAAATTTTTTTTTCATGGGTGGTGGTTTGTAATTCTTTTTGCCAAGTATCAATTATTGACCGGATTACGGAGAACTCCTTGGGGTATGGGCGCTCTTTCCAACAAACCGGTTGATTGCAGCTCTGCGGATATAACCGACCAGAATCAACCTGAGAGTTGGACCTCTTCCTCGTTGCTTCTCAAAATTTCAATTGGTGGAGGAAATCGATGACCCCAAATCGATGGTGCATAGGCTGTCAGTGTCAGAAATTGGCCTCGGAACAAACATCGTAGGACCTGCAGATCCAAACTTAACCCTTTGTTCCTGAGGATGAACAACCTTTTTGCTATACACAGTACAGTACGTGGCCAGAGGTTGCTGGATTACCGGGCCGCGTTTCACTCGCAGACGATCTGCTGGTGTTACCCTAACGAAGTGCCTGGTCCGAATCCCGACTCCATTGAGCAACCTGAAGTAGTGCTGATAAGCAACTCCTTCTTTTGGCCGAGCAGCCGCCATCCATGATAGATGCTCCTTGCCCCGGTCAATATCATTGTTCAGGGGCGAATTTAATGATGATAACCCGGAGGTGATGGGTCCCGCCCTGACATCTGAGCTTGTTCATACGCCAACAATGAGGCTGTGAACGCTGGAATGGAGGCAAAGGGAGCATGGCGGAGCTCCGGAGTGTAAACAGTCAGCGTCCGCGGCAAAAACGGTCAGAAGTGAAATCAACGCCAAGTGGGCTAAGTGCGATCATTTCCCGTGACGGCGTCGTGAACGAAACAGCCTCCCAGCCTAAGTTACTTTAGCGCGCATTGGTCGCAGGCTCAAACTTCCAAGACCAACCCAGTTGAACCCACTAAGTTGTTTTTCCTCGCCGGTCAAGTCCGTGGGTCAAGATCACTCGGGTGAATCATTGGTGCGTAATCCGCCACCGATTACGGGTATTCTAAAAACACAATGGATGACATCCTGGAGCTTTTCTCGGTTGAGTTTGGCTCGGCGCTGATCAGTGTTGTTGGGGGAGAACTAGAAGGTTTGGTTTCCTTTTTTTTTTTTTTTTTTTTTTTCATCACCTCATGCATCCTGCCAGTAGTAAATATCCCGGCCGATCAACGGAAGAGGGAGCGAGTCATCGTAGAGAAAAATGACACGCCAGAACCATAACATCTGGCGCATTCGAAAAATAAAATAGAAGAAGCCGCCCAAAAAGTCAAAAGAAAATAAGGAATTCCGATTGTGGACCAACACACATAGTATAAGTATCTCCCGGGCTTCGTTCTATGAATCCATCACAATCGTCAGCTTGCCCATGGTAGTTCAAGTGGTGACACCAACGACGCCTCATGTCAAGCTTTCCGTCTACAGAGAGTCGCATTTGCCAGATTGATGGCCCGCAGACGATGTGCACGAGAGTTGGAGCATGTCTGGCATGAAGGGGTCCACTGCTGATGGTCTCTAGTCCACATGAGAAAATTACTAGCCTGGAAGAGTTAAGACACAGGTCAATGGTAACAACTCCTTGCGTAGATTGTTTCAATCTGTGGTAGGATCGCCATTCCATGTTGAATCTCTGTTGAATCTTGATGCTACATCTTGAGCAGAACCATCCTCGACAGTCATCATGAACGAGTTTGCGTTCATGAAAACGGACGATGGGGAACTGCAGTGCCACGGGCGGACCCGTGTATTGTGTATGAGCAATACCAGTCCGGTTGGAACCTGGGCCCTTCTGCCTTATGTAACACATTCATGGACCTGAGGGAACTATGTTAATTACAGTAAGGGTCAATACTACCTCACCTTCGTACTGTGTAGTGGTGGCTCCATATCTTCACCATGAACTCGATCCTTCGGACCATTCAGCACCTCAGTCTGGTCCTGTACCTTAGCGATTGAGGTGATATGGTGTAACCTTCTGAGATGCGATGTCAAAAATAGAGCAAAAGAAGAAAACCGAAGGGAAAAAAAATAAAATAAAATAAAAATAAAAATGAAAAACATTCAGGAGACTGGACCATTCTCTCCATCGACTACATCCGACTTACTAGGTTATTGATCCTTACATGATCCAATAAGAACCGACATCTGTCTCGGCTCTCAGGATCCTTTGATTGGTGCCTTTTCCCCAGACAAAACATTCCATAATTGAAAGCTCGCCGAGAGGTCCAGAAGACGAAAAATAAAACACCAACCAAAAGTACTCGGTGCTAAGAGTCTCCACTCCCGTACCCCGGGGTCTTGGGAAGTCGGGCCATGCAATGAGAATTGCTGGATGCGAGAAAGTTCCTTTCATCCTTGGACCAACCATACCGCCCCATGTTTTTTTTTTTTTTTCCTCCCCCAAGTTCTTCCTTTCTAGATTGATACTGTAAGGTTGGTTGTTTCTCCCCGCTTTAGCTTTTTCGGCATTCACTCGAGAAAGAATGCTGGGAACAATTGGTCCCTCCACAGCCGATGCACTTTGCCGTATCGTCGACCTTTTCCATTTAAGACCAGACATATCCCTTCTTTCTCGAGCTTAGTGTATCATCCGTTCGGTGGATTCGCGCAAATCGTCCGTCCTCGACTTTTGACACGAACTAAATTCCCAGCTCCGTTGCTCCACTCGCCGTGACCCTCAACCCATCCGAGGGAAACTTGGAGAGAGAAAAAAAAAAAAAAAATTTAGCCCCAGCGCAAGAGAATAATAAACAGAAAAATAAAAAAAAAAAAGAAACCCTAAATCAGAACTAAACCCAACTAAACGGGCCTGCCTCCCGTATTCGGTAAGTTGCTGCCCTTACACCCCTGCAACTTTCGCTCGTCCGATTCAGTGTCTGTTCGTTTCGTTCCATCGGTCCAGGCGGCCCTCGTCCCTTCTTCGTTTCTTATTTGACTTACGCTTTCCCCTCCTCCTGCCGTTCTATTTATTTCTCCTTTCTCCATCTTGCACGGTCCTAAATCGTCAAGCCATTGTTTTGTTCTAGCCAGCAGTGCTGTGCGCATCGTGTCTTCTGTTCTCCCTTGAGATCCCTTGCGTGGTTCCATATATATTCCTCTCCATATCCAGCTAGCTGGATTCACTTTTCCTCTTGGACCTCACTTATATATTCTCTGTCGCATCAGACATCACTTGGACCGGTTGTGAATAGATCCTTCCATCTGTGAGCATCATGGCCTCCGCAGAACATCCCCCAGCGCTCGAAAAGGACTTCGGAAGCAACTCCGATGGCATTAACGGAGCTCATGACACCCACCACAACATGTCCGCTGAGGACACAGCTAGGGCTGCTGCGCGCTTCGGATATGGTCCTCTCGCTCACGTCAACACCGCTGAGGCTCAACTCCGTCCCTTCGGTGGTGAGTTCCAACCTGGTCTGTACAAGTCGGTCGAGCACCGCAAGTTCGGTAATCCAGCTCCTCTGGGCCTGTCTGCTTTCGCTCTCACCACGTTCGTGCTGAGCTTGATTAACATGGGTACGCGCGACATCTCTGAGCCCAACATTGTGGTCGCCCTGGCTTTCGGCTATGGTGGTCTTGTTCAATTGCTTGCTGGCATGTGGTAAGTCGATACTTCCCTGGAATGTCCAGTCATGTCACACTGACATTCGTCAGGGAAATGGCCGTTGGAAACACCTTTGGTGCCACCGCGCTGTCTTCGTATGGTGGTTTCTGGCTTGCTTTCGCCATCGTCCTGACCCCGGGTGGGTTTGAGATTGCGGATGCTCTCGGAGGCGCGGGTACCCCAGAGTTCGATAACTCCTTCGGGTTGTTCCTCTTTGTAAGTTTGCAGTGCTGGTGATTGAATGAGTCGCGTGCTGACTGTGACCAGGGATGGTTCATCTTCACCACTATCCTGCTGTTCTGCACCCTGAGGTCTACCGTAGCCTTCTTCCTGCTGTTCTTCTTCCTGGACCTGACCTTCTTGCTCCTCGGTATTGGTTACCTTCACCGCAACGCCGAGGGCAAGCCCAACCCCCCCGTCATCAAGGCCGGTGGCTTCTTCGGTCTCCTGGCAGCATTTGCCGCTTGGTACAACGCCCTCGCCGGTATTGCGGACAACAGCAACAGCTTCTTCATCCTCCCCGTCGCGCATTTCCCCTGGTCTCCCACTGCTCGCAGTCGCAAGACCGAGCGCGAGACCGCGTAGATTGTTGCGAGGTGCGAAGGTCGATGATCAAAACTCGATTGGATCGGGATCTTGTCCCTGTGTTTCCTTTTTTCCAGATACCCATTCTTGTAAGATCATTGCTGCGAGAATGTAATGTCGGGTCAGCGTTCTGCATGTTGCATTGCGGATGAACTTGACCACCCAATGCTATATCCGAATCTGCAGCAAGTGTAGATGGTCTTTTGCGATGACTTGAATTGCTTTGCCGTTTGCCAGCAACTTTTATAGTTTTGTAATGATGGTGATCTGTTGTTCATGTGGATGGACGATGGATGGGGACGTGTCTGTATCTAGTTTTATTAGTTAATGTATTCAATGATAATGATTCCGCTGCTATATCGTGTTGTAGTGTAAGGTGTGCGATCTCATAGTCCAGTCATGTGTGTTCGACACGAGACATGTTGCGGGCCTGTCGCGCAGCATAGACGTTAGCTCCCACCCGTGCCAGTCATCATTGATCAATAACTATACCACATACCCTCAACATAGAGGCTGACGAATACAGTATATTAGTGTAGCTCCTGTAGGGTCAGCATCAACCATTCGTCCAACAAAAATAAAAAAAAAAAAAAAAAAAAAAAAAAAAAAAAAAAAGGTAAAAATAAAAACACCACAAAAGAGCTGTATACAAGCAGCTCTTAGCGACCAAAGCACAAAACCCTAAATCGATCAATTAGCACAAAACAAGCAAAATCCACAAATTGAGCAATGTAAACAGGCGCTTCTATTTTCTCTGAGCAAGAGTATGCATGGCCATCTGCATAATAGAAAAAGAAGAGATACTAGACGAAAAAGGGGCCGCCAGAACTATTAAGTCTTATAGATCGGGGTTTTCTCGGTCTGCCGTGCAGGTTGGGAATCGTTCGGACGGCAAAGTTTCGGCCCTTTGCTGCAGAATTTTTGCTGCCGACGGGTGTAACTCGGGCTTGGCGTCATCTTGCATGCATAAGCTTGTTTCTTGGTCTTTTCTTTTGGAGTTGTGTTTTTTTTTT